CCGCTCCCCTTTTTCCCACCGATGCCGCATAGACTGAGCGTGAAGTTTACAATCAACATAAAGGTATACCACGCAACTCACGAGAACGTCACTGTGTATGGAAACAAGAATGCACCAATCCAAAACAGGTAAATGGTAATATGACGTCATAAGCCGTTATGCAGCCAATCCGAAACCACCGTATTTGTTGCCAAAGCTCCTGCGAATTGTAGTCAGCTGACGCTTTTATAGGTACCCAGGATGCATCACAACCAGCGGCTCCCGAACGGTTTGTCATTGGAGCGGAATTGCGGACATGCATCTGGTGAGCGACACAACAAAGCTGGAGACAGTTTTCCCTCAACTCAATTACACATGGCTAGGGTTGATTGTGAAACGCGACAGAATGGCGCGAACCGGTGGCTAAGACCCGATGGCAGACAAAGTTAGAAAAGGAGGCTCCGGAAGCTCTGCTCTGACGGGGAGAACTTCCGTATAAACTGGGAGTCCTCCCTCCGCTTAAAGTACCCCTAAAAAAGGACAGTAAACCGAGGGCCGAACATGAACATGTCCTGGAAACGGAGCAGAGAAGGCCAGGACTAAGCAGATTGGACCAGGATCAGGAGGGGGTTGGGGCGGGGGGAGTTGGATCAGCGGATCAGACCAAAGGGGATTACGGGACAAACGGTTATGGGCGTGGTCACCACTGGGGTCCGTGGTTTTCGAAGCACAATGCATTTTGCGCAGATTGAACTTTTTAGTGGTCGAGCATTTAAAAAGAACTAACACAAAAATGGATCACGCTAACAAATGCATGGTCACGTCCGTGCATATCGCATGGCGTGACAATGCATGGTATGAAACAACAATCAACAACACGGGGCAGGACGGGTCGTGACTAGGCAGGGCAGGGTGGTGCAGCTGATCACCTGAGGTTGAGCCGGTTAGGGTAGGGCAGGGCAACGCAGGATAGAAAAGGATGGACAGATGATTATCTGGCCGGAACAGAGGAAAAATTACATCATCGGTCCGGTGCGGTCGTCCTGCCGACTCCGACGGCGCATGGCAGGACGGGGCGGGGCTGAGGGGCTCGTTCGGCCGAGGGAAATTTTTCAACGAAATTATTTTTCCTATAATCATCCACGGAGTTCTCCATTGGCGTACGGGCGGTCGGGAAATTATCCCCAGATTCGTCCCCTTTGTGCATATGTAGCCAACGGTCATAACTATGCATTGCGAAAAAGATTCTCCATCTTTGACCACGCTCTGAAAATTTCCGGAATTCTCCCTCGGAACAGAAAATTACCCAAGAAAATTTTCCGTGGGCGCAGTACCGAACGCCATTCAGGCAGATTTTCCAACATTCCGGATAATTTATGGAGATTATCTGCCGGTCAACCTCCCCCCCCCCCCCGACAAAGTCAATCCAGGCACCGGTAATCCAGGATCTCGGACTGAAATCAACCTGATCCTGGGATTCACATTTGTTTTTATTTCGCGATGCCGATTTTCGGGAAAAGCGCAGCAGTCTATTGCATTTGTTTTTGCATAAATAATTATCTCTTGCTTGTTATATTCTCTAAATTAATCTATGTTTATTAAAGAGTTATTTATAATGGTAGTTCAAAGAAAGCAAATATGCCGGAAGGCACAACAATATGCAGCCAGGCACATATTTCCATGGCTGCCATATTTCAGTATGGATCAAGTGGTTCCCGTACAAATTGGCCAACGGCGTCTCACCGAATGCTGGTCCACCAAATGTGAAAAACCCGAATGCTTTTGCCACACGTCAAAAAGGCGCGAACGACTAAATGGCGTAATGTAAATTGACAGCATGTGTTCTTCACGACATGCAAATTTTCGAGCTGAAAACAGTTCAGTGTGCTAATTAGTCGAAAGCTAATTAGCCGAAATGCTAGGTACCGGGTTGCCAATATGGCAAACAACATTTACGCTAATAGCAATCAGATGAATGAAAAGCCGCTCTCGAAATACAGATTTGATGAATGACACTGCAATTAGGTGGACGTACATTCGTCGAATGGTGAATTAGACCTATACGTTTTGACAAAATATTGGTGGAGGGTTTTAAAATCATCAGACGTGATAACACCCGCGGCCCTTAGGGTATGCCCATGAATTACGTTACCCATTAATCGGGAGCGGTTTAGTTGGTTTTAACCACTATTTTTAAGTACATAGAGCAATTCGGTCTGATTTGACCGGTTAAATTCTGATCTAGTTATATCGATCAATGGAACAATGAAAATCCCCTCTGACCTGACATGGCATATTACAGGTCACATCACTCGCATGAACACCTGAGGGTGTTCACTATAACGCATCCGATAAAAATATTTTAAAAGCTATTCAACGCCGTTTCCCATCTTGTCATAGCTTAGTTTTTGCAGTAGCGGGAGGTTGAATCTGTTTTCACCTGTACAGTCATATTCGCCGTTTTCGGTCACACGTATCTGGAAGGTACAGCTCGGCAAAAGTTTTACGGTGTCGCAGTCTTAGTCCTGGTCGGGGGCGGATCTAGCCTGGGTTTTTTTTTTGGGGGGGGGGAGCAACCGTTTGTCCCCAGCTGGCTGGTGCGGGATCCGAGGTCCAGTGCATGGTGCCTCTCGCGAGTACCTAGTAGGGACATCATTCAAGCACCGAGATACCTTTGGATTTTCTATAAACAGTATGCATTTTCACAAAGCTCGTAACACTCATTTTGAGGTATTTTTTCGCTATTTTGTGATGGTTATTATGTAGGCTGTTATTTTGAGGTACATCTTTTGAGGTAAGTAGACGAAACTTTTATGAAGTTCTGGGAATTTTGGGGGGCCAAATCATACTCTCAGAGTTTTGGGGGGCATAACCCCGTGCCCCCCCCCCCCCCCCAGGATCCGCCTATGGTCCTGGTTCTGGCTTGCTTGGTTTTTGTGCTGTTAATGGAGCTGCTGAGGCCTTCCCTCTTAGGGTGCTGGTGAAAAAAAATGAACGGGGTGAGGGTTAAGGAGCCTCTTTCCACAAGCGATTAACAGCATTTCGAATGCGTACATATTCGACTAAAAAACAGCCCGCTAATTGGCACTCGACTGAAGAAAATTTAGCATGTGGGTATTCGACCAAAATGCATTCGGGTGGTAAGCATTCGACTAAACAATACTTCGGATATCTGAATTGAGTTCAGGGCATTCCGATAAATTAACATCCACCTAAAAACCGTTTAACTGTTCCGGCAAAAAAATCATTCGTTGAATATGTATTTCAGCTTATCAACATTTCGTCGATTGGATGCGGCGGCAAAAAAGCATGTCGGCAAATTGTAATTCAGCTTATAGCATCTCGCCTTGTGGGTGCGGCGACAAGAAGATTAGTCGACAAAACTGCATCCGGTGAAATGCACCTAGAAAAATAATCAACGACGGATAAACAAATTCGGTTACTTGTCCAGACACCGGATCAAGGACGGGCAGACAGACCGGTTTTGAGCCCCTCGACCAAAAGCAGCTGACGAACTCGCCTCAAAAAGGATTAACACCACGTATGTCACGCG